GGATCAGTCCCATGCTGGTATCCCAGCTATCAGTCTGGGGAGCAAGAGTTCCCTGATGTTCAGGTCAGCTGTTTCTGTGGGTTTTGCCAGCCTGGTCTGGACCCCTTTGCTCTTCAGTTGTCTTTCTCTGCATCTGGATTCCAGTTTAGTTCAGTGATAAGTTGTGGGTGTCTGCTTCTACTTCCACCAGCTGCTGGATGAGGGCTATCGGGTGGCATATAAGTCAGTCATCAATCTCATTATCAGGGGAGGGCATTTAAAGTACCCTCTCCTCTGTTGCTTAGATTGTTAGCTGGTGTCATCTTTGTAGATCTCCAGACATTTCCCTAGTGCCTGATTTCTCTGAAACCTAAAATGTCTCCCTCTATTATGGTATCTCCATTCTTGTTGTCTTCTATTCTTCACCTGACTCAACCTTTCTGCTCCCTCATGTCCTCTGCATGCCTCCTCTGATGTTATTTTTTATTAGGAGTGTATGTATAATGTATTAAAAATCAACACTTGTCTGTTATTTCCATTACTGCTGAATCTATTTCTTTTGACTCAATTTCTCCACTTACAGATCACATAGTTTCTGGTTCTTTGCGTGTCTAATAGTCCAGTGATCATGTGCTGGGCATTGCTGAGCAGTGGGTTTTTCTTGTTGCTGATTGTGGTGGTCTGTTAAGATTGCTAAAACAATAGACCACAGAAAGACTTGGAAAGGCTGTGGAGGATCCTAGTATACAGGCTGAGGCATCTACTGTAAGAGCCTGGGCTCTCCCCATGTTAGCCTGAGCTGAAACAGGAAGGGAACAGAGGTGAGTTCTGCTTCATTTGGAAGGGAACTATGTGGGATGAGCCTGGGTGTCACAAATGACACAGAAGTGTTTGCTCAGGGTTCTGGAGGTGGGAGTCTGAAATGCAGGTGGCAGTTTGCCACAGCCTCTCCCTGGCTTTTGGATAATTGCTTCTTGCTGAGTCCTCTGTCCATTTCTTCAGTGCTGTCTTCTTCTCTTCTAACAAGATTAGTGAGAACGAGTTAGGCTCTCGTGCTTCCAATTCTGTTTTAACCCCAGCTCCAGTCACAGTGTAACGACGAATCTTAGTTGTCAATTGACACACCTGAGGAGAGGGAACCTCAGTTGAAGAATTGCCTCCATCAGCCTGTCCTGGCACATCTGTGGGGCATCTTCTTGATTACTGATTGAGGTAGGAGCGTCTGGCCCTGTGGGAAGTTCCTTTCCCGGCCAGGTGAGCCTGGGTTGCATGTTGGAGCAAGCCAGTAGGAAGCAGCATACTTCTATGATCTCCGTCTCAGTCCCCGGCCTCCATGTTCCTGACCTGGCTGGTGACAGACTCAGTGATGGACTGATACCTGGAAGAATGAGTTGAAGTGATTCCTTTCCTCTCCAAGCTGGTTTTGATCATGGTGGGTTTTGTTTGTTTGTTTTTGTTTTTATCACAACCACAGAAAGAAGACTAGAATACAGTCACATTAGGATTGAGAGGTTCAGCACAGGAACTGTGGAGAAAATAACTCTGTCTCTAACATTGTTGTTGCTTATTTTCCCTCTGTCGATGTTGAGCTTTGTTCCAACAGGTAGTTTTGTTGCTAGGGGCTCTTAGAGTTTCATTAGAGCTAGTTCACAGCCCTCTTTATTGGAGATCATCAGTCTCAGCACTGGGCCAGACATTCCTGGATGGTCTGATAGTCTATGACCAGACTCTGGTCAGAATTGAAATTTATCCCAGTCTTCCTTCCTTCCTTCCTTCCTTCCTTCCTTCCTTCCTTCCCTCTTTCTCTCTTTCTCTCTTTCCTTCCTTCCTTTCTTTCTTTCTTTCTTTCTTTCTTTCTTTCTTTCTTTCTTTCTTTCTTTCTTTCTTTCTTCCTTCAGTTCCTGCCATTTCAGTCACTCATCCACAATTACTTGTCCGTGGTGAATCTTGTTTATGACGATCAGAGGGCAGAGCTAGCAACTAGTTAACCATAGAGGTATGGAGGTCTGTACAGACAGGGAGTGATATGCCTGGGTAGAGAGAGGAAGTGATAAGGCAGGGGGAGACAGGAGCTCAGTCTCCTATGGCTAGGAGCTTGAATAGGGTAAGGTGGCTGTGGTTTGCTCCTTCATCTCTATGAACTCTCAGCATTTTCCTCCATATTTGACTCCAGACTTTTATTATTATTAAGACCTATTAGAACTCTTGCTACACTTGTCTTCTGGTTTGTTGAAACAGTCAGTCAGACAACACTTGCTATAGTAATGTCAAAGTGACCATTGAAAATTCCAACAACACATTTGTCAAAAGGGCATGCTTGATAACGGTGACTAATTTTGCTTTTTTCATCTACGTTGTAATCTTTCAGGACAGACAACTTTATCTTCTTTATCTTGTGCTTATTTTCCTCCGCAGTGGTCTAGGACTCCTTCATCCTTTTATTAGCACTATCACAAAGTCTCAAACTGTGATGAAGGATGGATGTTGTCTTTCAGGCTCTCCTGGTTGGGCGGAATCCTTTCTCATCCTGGATCTTGGCCTTTGCACTCTATGGTGTGTGGGGACTCAGCCCTGTG